ATAATATAAGTTAAAAATAGAGTTAATTATAAATAAGATTAATTAATATAAATTACTTATTTATCTGATTTAGTAATAATTAGCGATTACTGTACCATGTACTATAGCTGTACTATATGCTGTACCATGTCTATTGTATCATACAAATAGATAATTGGTTATAATATAAAAAAAATAATATTCAACTCTTCACTTTGTTTCAGATTTTAAAATATCCTACAATTATTATAAGCATCTAAATTGCTAATATAAATATGAAAATAATATTGAAAGAATTAAAATGATATATTAGTTGTTAATTGGAGAATACTAAAGTAGGATAGTATAATCCAGATTGAGTTGATTTGAATTGATTTAATTCAGATTTACATGTAGTATTACATGCAAAATAAAATAAACTTTTCAAGAAAATATTCTTATATTTTCAAGAGTGAAAAGAGGAGAGGGTGGAAGCTAATTATGATTTTTATGTTAAATGCAGGCTAATTAAGACTAATAATATTTATCACTATTAATATTAAGATATATATAACTGTTAAGATATGCACTAATATACTTATTTATCATACGTACTTGTAATTTCTTTATATATTCTTGCTATTTTTCTATATTTTCACATTTCTTTATATTCTCATCATTTCTTTATTTCTCTCTAATATGCAAGTAATAAATAAAAAATATCTCAATATATTTAATATTGACAAATCATTTGAAGTTTCAGAAAAAGAATTTCACAAAAATTTGTGGCCACTTATTTCTAATGTGTGAATATGATATAATAGTTGAAAATATAAGAATAATAATTTTTGGATTATTTACTCTTGTTATCTAGTGAAATATAGAGAATTAAGTATACGTAAAGAAGACATTCCCATTGAGAAGTGAAGAAAAACTAGCAAGCTTGATTCTGAAAAGTGTGATATAAGGATAAAAATAATATATATTGCTTTAACTCAAATAGTTCATATTAAATATTTCAAAAATACATCCAATCACAGTCATCTAATTGAAGATAATGACAAGATTAAATGACCTGAAATTATTTGACAAATAGTAGCTAATGAAGTAATAAAATCATATATGCTACTAGCTATTGTGATTACCATTAAAGAACTAGCAGAAAAGAATGGCTTAGGCATTATTGGTCAAAATCTATACCAAACTAAAGTCACCAACATTTAGCAAAAGATATATGGATTATTAATGACTTATCTTGTAGGTGAGACAGATCTAGAGCTCAATATTCAAAATTCGCTCAAGCTATTAGTTAGCAAAGATTATAAAGTTGAACATTTTGAGATTACTCAACAATTATTAAAAGGTTTTTGCTTCACAAGTTCTTGGCAATTGGAAAAACTATGACATTATGAATGACTTACATTCATAGACTCCACTCACAATACTAATAAATATTCCTAGCATCTATTTACTTTGTATATCTATAATAGTTATGATTCCTAGAATGTGGATGCACACTTTCTTTTAAATAATGAAGATAGTAATATGATAACCAAGGTATTAAAGATGATTTGAGGATTCGCATCTCATTATTATTCTTGATATATACTTAGTAACCAAAGCAATATAGAGATTAATAATATTACAAATACTTTCTCTGGTATTATGTGTGACAAGCAAAATTGTAATATTATTTTATGTACTGTTCACATAATGTGTACATGACTATATAATATCTACCATTTAGTAATACGTAATAAATTGATTCTAGCTATGCATAAAAGAACAAGTATAGGTTGCAAAGAAGTAATTTGTAATACTATTATCACCTGTCCCATTCCAGATATCATTCACTATATTTAATATAATTATTCAAAGAATACAGAGAAATAGGCACTTTGGATATGTCAATATTCACTCTCTTACTTCAAGTTACTTTTACGAATCTATTAGAATCATTCCATAATAAATTAAAAAGATTAACCATAAAGGAATATGGCTTAATTGGTAAGTATTATTAACTGCAACTATATCATATTTTTTGCTATCATCATCATTACTAAATTATTATTTCTTGATTTATTAGATGCATATCACAAGATTATTGAGTTTAATAATAAAAAGTGGTTAGATTTGGAAAAGACTGTCTTCAATTTTCATCAAAAGTGAATCTTTGTGATCGATATTGATAATGAAACTATCAAGAAAATTCAAAAATTTTCATATTCAATTCAAAAACTAATCTTGGGTGAGGCTATCACTATGAATTTTAGGATTACAAAAGAAAAATTACTACCAAACCTGATATCATCAAATTATTATTATATATTTTTTAATCATTATCTTTTTTCTTATTAATATATTCTTCATAAGCATCTATTCGGTTATAATAAATTACTAATAACTGATATTTGGGAGGAATTTCAGCAATTATTTGTGAAGACTAGCTTTGAAGTATATAAGTATCGGGAGATGATTGAAATATCTGAGCTTATTCAGACTCAAGAGGAAAGAGAGATAAAAATATGTAAGTTATAGGTGGGTGAACTTATGGAAAGAATATGAGATAAATATTAGGTAATGGAGAATAAAGGTAATGCAGACACTACTAGAATATTTATTATCTATTTAGATAAATCATTAGGTCTAGTTTTTAAAATAGTAATATAAATAATTTTGTATTTAATTAGAAATAATTCAATAAAATAACATTAAGTAATCTGTTCTTTTCTTTCCATTAATATAGGTTTCTAATACATCTAATGATTAAATATTCTTTAAATAATAATGATCAAGCTCTTAATTAAACAATCTAACTTTCTCCCTTCCCAGGCTCTTAAAATAATTCACATGATTTGCTTTGACCAATCATGAATTTTAACGTAATTTAAAATCACATGATACGATCCGGATCGAATCGCATGTCACATGATACTACCCCGCTTTAGTGGACCCCTGTTAATTGCAAATTACAGTCATTATCATATATATAAAAATTTTACAATCGTTATAGCGAGAAATTCACTATATCGAGCTATACGGTTTCTGAGCTCAGCTTCACTATATCGAGGCGAGAGTAGCATGAATTCTAAATTGTAGGATATTATATCGATATGTGAAATTTCCTTTTCGACGTTAGATTTAGGCATCCATTTTTGTTTTGTATCAAGGGGATATTAAATTCTGTAGTACAGATGGTTGGATATGTCCCGTACTTTCATTACTTTATCAATGATTTGACACCCTCACAAGATTTTTCTTATCCCGGACTCAACCTTCCGAGCACCGGTCCAAGTGTTTTAGGACTTTATTTATTATAAGTACACAATGATTGCCCCTGTAGAAGTCGTACTAGCACAAATACTTAAATTTTCGAAAAGCCTTAAAATAAACAACAATAAGCAAGACATAAAAATGACTGGCAAACATTACTTTTTTTTGACAATTTTTGAAACTTTACTTCATTCTAATGGCGATAAAACGTAAACTTCGTAGTTCAACAACTACAACAGATCCTCAACCACAACAGCCACCACCACAGCCGCCTCCACTACAACCACCAACCACAGTCAACAATCCCTCTCCCGCGCCAGAAGAACCGGATTCGCAAGCAATAAAATCTGAACAACCGGATTTGCAAACAAAATCTGAACAATTACAAGAAGAAACAGCATCCTCTATAAAGACAAAGAATCGTGGTCGACCTCGAAAACCTAATGTAACTACTTCGACTAATGACCTCAACGAGGATGCTGTCGCAGTTTCTTCACCTTCCACTACAACGGAAGCGACTGTTCAACCACCTGTCAAAAAAGCGAGAGTTGAAAGGAAAAACAAAAACATCAAAGGCAAGACGAAAACTGTAAAAGAGAAAACAAAGTAAGGCACACTTTTAATATGATTATGAAAAATTAATTAATTATTTTTTCTTTTTCTAGAGTATTTGTGAATGAGTGGGTTGATGATACATATCCAATAAATGTAAAGGAGCAACTGATAACGAGCAGTAGTGATGGTAAAGGTGCTGCTCTTGCTATCAAAATAAATAATAATAAAAAAGGTGGCGGTGGTGGTGTTAGCAGAAGTAGTAGTAGTAGTAGTAGCAGCAGCAGCAGTAGCAACAGCAGTATTAATGGTAGTATTAACAGTAATAATAATAATAATAATAATAATAGTAATAATAATAATAATAATAATAATAATAATAATAATAATAATAATAATA